CTCGTAAAGTTTAACAGATGAAACAAGTGATTCCACCAGTTTCAAAACTGGAACGTTGTATTTACATAATGTTTGTGAAGATCTGTGTGTACACTGTCAATTGGTCTTACTGACAGACGATATCTTAAAACAGTTGAACAGTGTACACAAATTTAAATTCCCAAATAATTTACGGAGTAAAACTTTTTCTATTATCATTACAAATTGATTGATTCTTATTTGCTTAATTTGTCCTTTACTGTAAATATTTTAAGCCTTCCAAAATGAAGTGAATGAAAGATGTTAAGTAAGTTACAAAAGACGCCTACAGCAAATACGGTATAATATTAACCAAAAGCAGAAAATAAAGAAAATATCAAAAAAAAACATTAATATGTACCTGTACGTATTTTCTCATCTAGGATCCGGTCATCGCTTACATTACGGAATAGGGTAAGCTCATTGCGGAAGGGAGCACGGTAACCTATATTTTCCTTTTTTCCTTTTGTCTGCGGTGGATAGTTGTCTTATTGGCAGTCTCAACATATCGTGTTACTTATAATAAACTGCGATATTTCTTCTTACATATTGTTTAAATTTAAATCTTTATGCCGAATCAATTGGAACTTTCTTTTTTTCATAACTTTTTAGCAATAGTGTGTACCGTTGCTAATCCCCGAGGGAATCATCAGCTTGGTACATACATGATTAATAACAAATTGATCTTGAAATCTCTTTTGACTGATATACATTTTCTTAGAACCTAGATTTTTTACCCTAGCAGGGAAAGTTGGTCATTGTTGGATTTGACTATTCTTTTATTTGGTCCCTTTTGTTCATTCAACATATCACATTTTTCAGTACGTTCCCGATAAAGGTAAATAGAAAAGTGCATCAGACACACTAAAATGTATGAAACATTGTTTCCTTTTTAAACTGTTTGACTGCTATTCCTCAACAGTATCATCAACTGAGATGTCATTGCTTCAATACTGACATGATTCCTAAGAAATATTTCTTAAAACTTCAATCAGGCAAAGTTTTACTTAATAATAGCCACAACAATGACCAAGTTTAAGAACTGTTATTAAATTTTATGTATCAATTGAGGTAGTAGAGCACGAATGAAATAAGATGTTTAACATTTTGAGTCGAGCACAAATTTAAAAGATATATATCCATAATTCAGGCGTTCAGATCGCCATCAAATGAATTTAGCTTGATAATGAAACATATTCAAGGGATATATAGTATAGCCCTACCCCCTAAAAAACAATAACAAAATAACAAAAAACAAAACAAAGAAAAAAAACAATACAAAAAACAAGCAAAGCAGAAAAACCACCCATAAAAAATGCAAAGCAAAAACAAGATTATATCGAGGTAAACATACGATCTTAAATGAATTGCCTGTTCTATATGTAAAATGTATAGCTATATCACAATCGATGCATTTCTATGTTGATAAAAACGATATATGGCTTATTTTAAACAGACAGCAACCAACTTACACATTTAAACTGGGTAAGACATGTTGGCTAGTTTCTATTTGACGAAAAAAAAACTGCATACAATTATTTATATACTAAACCAGAATTATGAAAATGAAAGTTGGGCAATAGACATATAAATAGCTTTAAATCTGATATAAACAGGAAATGACAACATCCATTTTATATCACTATCAAATGCACACGAAATGGTGGTTGTTAGAAGACTTTGAAGGTGCGACGCGAACAGCAAACTACTCTTATGTATCCATTGCTGAAAAAAGACATTTGTATCGCTTGTATGTGTCAGAATATACCGGAACTGCAGATACATTTACTGTTGTTCTTGTGTTTTCTTGAGTTTTCCTGGTTTATGTATTGATAAGTAACGTATTGGTTTTGTCTCAAGCCACCTCCAACCACCTTCCCCGATTACGAACACACTCCTTTCGCCTTTTAATTGTCCATCTCATTATCGCTTTTATATCCCCCTTGTTAAGTTACTTCGTTGTAAGCTTCATCACGTCTGTTAGTTTTTTTTATTTTTTGCTCAGTTTAAGACCTTTCTTTGACAATTAAAAACTAGACAATAATGCTCAAATGGGACATCCATTTGATTGATTTGTGGATGAAAAATAATGAAGAGGGCTGGAGCGTTCTGAAATTAGGTAGATCTACTCGAAATGTCTATTTGAAAAAAAAGAGGCGCATGCAGTCCTTTGTAGGGTATTAAATGCAGTTCTAAAATCCAAGATGTCTTTCCTGAAGGGTCCAGAAGAATTTGAGTAGGTTTATTTTGAACAGGTTTTTAATTTTCTGTTCAACTGGTTGGCTGGAAGCTAGCAAACAGTCTTGGAAAACTGTTCAATCTATGTCTAGCTCCAAACCAATACCGGATGAATACTGAATACTTTTTTCAAGGCCCGACTGCAACCTGCTGCTGGGTGTGGCCTATATGTCTTCATGTGTCGACAGTCATTCACAACTTCATTGTCATTTCAAAAACTATGAAAAAATAACAAGAACTTTATGAGATTTTCAAATATGGCTTTTTAAACTATATGTAATAAAATTATGAAAAGAAAAGTATGGGTTAGCAGGCAAATGTGTTTAATGACAATACATTGATAAAACCAGAGGATTCTGAAAATCTGGCAAAAATTCAAAAACAAGAGGAGCAAACATCCTTAAGTTAGCAAAAGAGCGTTGGAAACGCACACAAACTCCGTTATATATGCAAGTACCTATCCAAAGTAAGGAATCTTAGTGCCTATCCAAAGTAAGGATTCTTAGTGCCTATCCAAAGTAAGGAATCTTAGTGCCTATCCAAAGTAAGGAATCTTAGTGCCTATCAAAAGCATGGAATCTTAGTGCCTATTCAAAGTAAGGAATCTTAGTAACTATCCAAAGTAAGGAATCTTAGATGGAGTGTTTAAACTTTTTAATTTGATGTCAATATAAGTAATGTGTTCCTCTCTGTCGAATTATTTATCATAACTCGTCAAGCTAGGGCAATTTATGATTTATCCTGCAGTATTTGCGCATATCAATCGTTCGGAGTCGTATAAGGACATTTAATAGTTATCTTTTATTTTAATGGTAATGAAACTACGAAATATTGTCATACAGTTAAAATAAGTATTCTGGTAAGCAACAAAAACTTTACAAAATTGTGCATGCATTAATTTCTGCGAGATCAATTATTCAGAAAATGCTGCATACCAATAAGGCTACTAAGATTTAAAATGTTGAATTTGAATTTTTGCGAAATCTTTCCTGTCACGATTTTTGCAATAATAACATCCTCCCAGAAATTTCTGAATAAATTAACAGTACAACGCTTTGAAGGCGTCATGCTTGTCATCCTCAGCCTAAGCAATGTGTTACTGTAATTTGAATTTCAAAATGACTGAGTGACGTTTTTTCGACGTACTGGTCAACTCCACCGTAGCGAATCACATGACTTTGACATAATCAATAATATATTACAGTAAATACGAGCGAAAACTATCTTTATAAGTAAAGAATTGTCGCATAAAAATTGAATACACGGGAAATGGCAAAGTTCGCGAAGTCTAGTCTGATTAATCATTTTACAAAAAAAAAAAAAAAAAAGTGCAAGCAAAGGGGGGGGGGGGGGGGGGCGTACGCCCTCTATGCCCCCCTCTGGATCCGCCACTGCCTATGCATTATTATTATTATCCTCAAACCCAGCAACATCCCAGACGGCCCCTTTTACAGGACCTACCTTTTGTGTTTATTGTTAAATTTTTCCCCGTCCTGAACATGCATGAAATATTTGTTACTGGACGTTAGGCATTCAATATTCAATCAATCAATCAAACCCAACGAATAAATAACGTTTACAAAAACCAGGAAAATTGCTACCACGAACAAAAGTACTTCCACACGCAAACAAATACTAAAACAATTTCAAAGGAAAGAGTCATTTTACTCTTTCACATCAACAGTTTATACGATATCTTTTTAACTCTCTATTACAGGAGGCGAACACACTGCAATCTACCATATTTGTTTACTACATAGCTATGATAATAGTCCATATGAATGTAATATTATTGTCTTTATTTCTCACTGCTTTAGAACAAAAAATGTATTTATCGCTTTACGTTAAAAATTATTTACAACTCATGGAATACAAAATTTCGGCTTCCGAAATGTTTGTACGCGGGCATACCCGTAACAGGTTGTTCTAGAAACAAATATCATGCACACTGAAATCGTCATTATCCGCATTTAATTCTAAACCATCTTTATTGGGATGTAAAAGTGTTGACCGAAACATATTTTGAATGATGCGCAACGTTTTTTTACATCCAAATAAAACTTAAGAAAGAAGATTAAATTCGCATACTTACTACTTGATGCTAAAATCTGACTTAAACATTTCAAATTCAATTACGACTTACATAAATTACATAATTGCGCATTATACATTCATAGAAATTATATTTAAAAGGACAATACCTTTCATAAGGAGTGTATTTGTAGATCTTTGTCTTGCTGATAAATTCTGCCGTGTTTCTCTTTATCTATTATAATTTTCAAGACAAGCGGCAAAAACGAAAAAAATAGAAGGTTAAAATCATCATACACGGGCGATAAGTCTTATAAGGAGTCGTTTTACTATTTCAGTAAAACTAGACAATATAATAGGTCTTGGCATTTTAAATTTTTATCACCTGTCAAATTTCCTCCATCTATATATAACGGTTTTCAAAAGTATCGTCAATACTTGTATTTGACCCCTTTGTTCTATTGTAAGCCTTTGCAGTCATATTGGTTGACCGACGTCATCATCAGATAGATTTTCTTTCCTAATCTAGATAGCCCAAAGGTTATAATGTCCAACTTTTGTTCAATTTGATCGAGAAGATTAAGAGGAGATAATTTTAAAAATCTTAACAGACGACGATGACGGAGGACAGACGATAAGTGATGACAAAAGCTCACACTGGCTCGTTGTGCCGGGTGAGTTAAAATAAAACTCAACTGAATATCAATATATAATCATCTATAATGTAAAATCATATTTTAGTAGCACAAAACCAGAAATGTAAATTTAATTATTCTTTTTTTCATTAAAAACATTATCTTTTAATACGGATGTTTCTACTTCGAACAAACCACACATTTGAAAAGGGTGTCTTGTACAAAGGGAGGACATTTGAGCGATCCACAGTACGCCTTGACTCCAAACAAAAGGTATCCATTACCATAGCGTGAACCAGCCTCCAATACGTCTGGACTACTATCAACACATATGTACTGAGACGCACCAGCATGGCCATAGTGTCCTGACATCAGATTTCCACTATATTCGGTTTTCCAGCCAGAGTAACAATGTAATTTCCCAGGAATCATTAATACAGTCGATGCATGACTTACACGACATACTGCACATGGTACATCTTTGTTTATTAGGTTACTACCAAAGTCATTTGTTTCGTACTCCATCCCAAACAGAGATCCAAAAGCTGACTCATGACTAACCTGTCCAAGATCAGGGTCATGCGGAACACACACTGGATTAGAAGGTCGTACTGAATTAGTGTAATGGCCGCCTGCAGCAATACCTGCAAATACATAACTCGTTCGAATTAAGCATTTAGAATTGCTTCAAACTATTCGTCTTGTTTGTCAATGCAAAACGGAAAAGATACTACGAAACTAAAATATACATTATATAATTATATTTCCCTCTTGATATAATTAAAGCCCTCCATAAGCTAAATAGGCATTATATATGTAAGTCGTCTAGTAGTGTAATTCATGAATATGAATATCGAAATACATTTGGATATTCAATTATCAGACGAAATACAGATTTTTTTTCTCTATGGTTACATCTGCTTTTATCCCATATGAACATATCAAAGTTTACATTGGAGAATATTAAATACATATTGATTGATTGACCTTTGTTTGGTTTCCTCTCAGTGGCAAATGTTTCAAGCAAATTCAGGGCAAGAACAAATTTACAATAAATGAAATAGATATGTTCTGCAAAGCGCTCTACTGTTAAGAACAGGTGAAAAGGCTGTCACTTGCAAACGAGGATTATTTGTATAGGGGCATCTATTTTACTTTCATAGCTTGGCAAACTACTGATCCCATTTTTGCAAATATTTTTTAAACCGTACGGAGAGTGCAACACTCAATCTCTCTGCACGAGGCGTTGAACTTAACGTCCCAATTTCGATTAGATATGACTGCGTTTTGATACCTCCGATGAAAAACAGAGGCATCCCTTGCCATGTGTACAGCTGGTCGATAGGAGAAGGCCAGGTGACCATAGTTCTATAGAACCAGTGAACCCTTCAGATGTGTGAATGCTGATATAAAGTATATATTTAACTGCATGCATACGTAACTAAGTGTTAATTTGATCGTATTCAAATATAAGTGGATGCCTATTTGATATCCTTGGAGATAGGACAGGATTATGGAAATGAACATTCTGGCCTGGTCATAGTTGGAAAAATAGCTTTGCGTAAGATAAGATGACAAATATTCTGTCCAACTAAATGCAATATAAACTTGGTCTCTGGTGTAGAGTTATCTCATGTGCGATCATATATACCACATCTTTTTTTATATAAGCTGTCTTTCGCAAAAAACGTTCCCCTTCCCCCTCCCCCCGCTAATGTATACAAAAAGTATTGTCGTTTTATCTGTTTGAAGGAAGATACTTTGGTTGGGCTGCTCTTCGAGTATTTTGTATCTTTGTTGTCTGTCTTACCCCGTGAAGACTATTCCATAAACAAGTAAGGTTGTAGGGAAATCCCTATTAGAAATTACTTTGTGCAAAGGAGGAACATAGGTTGGTCTGGAAAATGTGCATAAATACAAGACAAACCATCCATCTGAATGCACAGAAGGGTTTATTGGATTTACGTCAATGCGACAGCAACCCAACATTACAAAGGCAAAAGGCATTATTGCATTCAATGCTATTGTATTAAATCTTACCCGTGTAAACAATTTCGGTTGTATTTGTTGGGCATTCTTTTCTTCCCCATCTGACATAAATACTTCCGGATGGATCTAAAAATATACACGTGAACACATGAGCAGACATTTCGAATATTTTTTATGCTAACTTGGTATATTTGGAGCAATCAATATTGACGTAAGATTAGACAGTATTTTGCTTTTATAGCTGCTCCAGACTATAAAAAAAAAATGCCAGAAATCAAAAGGAAATCATCAAAGAATGCGTGTCGACTAATAAAATGTCCATCCATGTAAAAACCATCATAGAGCATGGCAGGGAATAATTATTTCTAGTTGTATAGGAAAATTCAGACCTTTTATTTTATTGTAAGCGGGCCTATTCTACATTGTACACGTTCGAAAAACAGCCATTTTGATTTGATAATGGATTACTATCAAAATTCCCCCCTTTCAAACGTGTACTCCGCGTAAAGGTACATGTACGCTTCGAACGAAAAGCATCAGTTCGAAACGTGTCCAGTTGTTTACCGGCTCAGGCTCCAAAATGAAAAAAAGAAAAGAAAATATAAGCAATCTTTCGAGTTTATTGGACTTCATGATTTCATGCACTGAACTTGTAGTCTCTATAAGCGCATGTGTTTAAACACATACTTCCATAATCAGTAATGATCTAGATGAGGAGTAAAAATAAAAAATTCTTGGTAATATAAGTGAAGTGAATGTGCATACAAACTACGTACGGAAACGAGTTGATACATGTCATAATTTGTATGAATTATGGAAAATAGTGCATAAAATGTACCGCAGGCGAGCAGATGTACTATATTTATATTTTCGATCTTTCCAGTATTGTGGAAAATAAAAATAGAGGCGCAGCATTATAAACTACTGTAATTGCAATATCAAAATAAGAGCAAGAACACATTGAATCGGTGAAAATAGGTTAAAATGTTTAAAAATATTTACTTAAGAAAATCAATCGAAAAAAAAAAAGTAAAATTGAAAAGTTAAGCTTCAGTCATACCAAACTAGTTCTCAAAACGTCCGAACCTTAAAAAACGTAAAACGGGTTGTGGTATGGCTAGAACGTAAAGCTTTGGCCGGACAATGTCTATAATGCGACCCTAATTAGTTATTTAAACTGTTCTCGGTACGTCCATCTCGTTCAGTTGTACTGGTAATTTGATAACTAGTGTTTAATTTATTTTTGAAATGGTGATACTGCATATGGTGAAATGCTTTATGAATGTCTGATATTCCGTTTGATACCTATGGTGTTATATTGATATTCGTTGTCATTGTTATAAGCTGAAGTACAGCATGCACATAGATATGTTAATATAATATGTATTTTATTTCCCTCTATACACACTAGTACTGTGATCATGTTCACTGAAGACACTCCAAGTCCCCTCCAAAGCTGCAAGCTTAACCATGTTTTTGGGCATATAACTAACCAAATTAAAAACCCATGAGAAAACGGCCTCTTTTTATACCAAACCCTGTCTGATTGTACGTTTAAGAACTGCATAAGAATGCAATAACGTTCTCAAAACGAGCAGAGCATACAAAGAACCTACTGCGAACGTTTTGAACTGAGAAGTAACGTGTTGCTAACTTGTTCAGAACTTGATATTTTGTTTTGGTCGTATTTAGACGGATTAAAGACGCACTAAAGAAGTATTGAGGTCGAATTAGGTCTGTGTGTGAACGAAATAAATGTGCTAAAAACGGATTCAGTATGTGTGCACACGCACATCCAATTAAGGGCATCCGATACAGTTTCAAGGGAGTTAACTCTTGGCGCGACGTTATGCGTTTGAATTCCCGCAAAACGTCACTTTTTGCGGGACGTAATGCGTGTAATTTTCCGTAATAAGAAACGTAATGTGGATTTTCGATGCTTCAATTTCTGTTTCTCCCGCATGCTAACTTCTAAACCATTAATATTAGTGCATTTGATTCTAACAGGATAACAGTCTAATAAAATCAGAAGAAATAAAACATATTACTGTTTCTGTGAGATCTTCAACAAAGTATCGTATAGTGAGCAATCTCAAGACGACTGACCCTTTTGGTGTTACTAATATAATGCATGTCAATTATCATTTTTATTATCATTCATCATCCATGATTTGGTCCGAATCCGATTTTCTGACATTTTATTACAGCACAGAAAACCAATGATATTTTAAAAGTAATACCGAAAATTTAGGTACACGAAGAAGTAAATTTCCTAACTGAACAATTTACTAAAATAAATAATGGTATGCCGCTAATATAAAAATGATACAACAAAGTTCCTATTTCTTCCACGTTGCACGTATTTTATCTAACGAAAGGCAAAAATCAACAACATTAACGCCCGAAAAATTTTGACGGAACGTAATAATGGTATACAAATGTCCGGCGTCTGTCTGGCCGTCTTTAACATAGTACAGCACAAATATCCAAATTTCATTAAACTTAACATAGTTGTTTTTTATGATGGTCAAACGATAAGTATACTTTTTGGTGAACGTTTTGAGTTACAGGACTTTGTAACTAAAACAGAGGTGTTTTTTTCACAGTTCGCGCCGTATCTCAAAAACAAATTATGATTATTGCTTAAAACTGTACACACTTCTTAGTTATATTAATCTGAAGATCTGTGTACTTTTTGGGGATGATTCAAAATTTTATTTGACAGTTATTGAGTTTATGAAAAAGAGGGGGTTTTCACATGTCGCGCCGTATCTCAGAAACTATTTATAATTATTGCATAAAACTTCACATACTGGTTACTTAAATTAATCTGAAGATCTGTATACTTTTTCGTGATGATTCTTCAATTCATTTTTGAGTTCTTGAATTTTTATTGAGCTTCAATTTGATATCATAGAACACATGATGTGATATATAAACTTCCTATTGAGAAAGAATAAGGAATGAGTCAGGATATACTTAGCATGAATTCCTGTACAACCCCCGTGTTATTTTAAAAACATTTATTATGGTTTTTTTTCATAAGACGATGGGCGTATCATGCGCTCGTAGCGCAGCTGTTTATTTTGTTCTTTATTTTTTTTTACAAATATATTAGAGAAATGACGGATTGACATCAAATACAATGGAATTTCCAATATAATTAATATTTCCAAATGGCATAACTCTTTTAAAGAACAGTTGATATGCACTGATTTTCGAACGTGTCCATACGATATTAGTTTTATAAAAATTTGGCAAGAATTGTACACTTGAAAAATCTATTAACCAGAAGGACACAAAGGACAGACAGAGGAATGGGCGTGTGATATTTTATGTACCCCGCAATGCGTCGCGCTGTGGTGAAAAAATATATATAGTTACTAGTATTTACCAATAAAATTACGCTATGAGAGAAGTACTAGTATTTGGATTTTAATCGCAACTTGCTACCCTCTCCCACTCTCCCCCCTCTTCCCCCTAAAAAAACAGCATTAAAAACTGAAGAGAAAGTATATAATAGTACAAGATTATAAAAGTGACGTGCAGAGGCGTATTCAGGGGGGAGGCTCAGGCCCCCCTTTTGAGGAAAAATTTTGGTTGTTTATATAGAGAATCACTGAAGCGTGACGAGAGCGGGCCCCCTCTTATGCAGTCAGTGGGCCCCTACTTATGAAAATTTCTAGATCCGCCACTGACTTGCTTTGCAATCGTACTTTAAGTGGGTATAGTGTGGAAAGTTGGGAGAGGAACAGAAACAAAACCAAAGCTGGGAGTGGGTGGGGGAATAGGTAATATGTCCAGTCCTTTCGCTATTAATTCAATCGTTTTGCCAAATCAAAAATTTCTAAATTATGGTTTAGTTTCTCTGTCTGGACAAAAGCATCCTTTGGCAAATTGAAGATTCTCCTTTATAAGATTTTGTTTTTGTTTTCTGACAACATGAAAAAAGAAGATGTGGTGTAATTGCCGATAAGACAACTCTCCACAAGAGACAAACATGACACAGAAATTAACAACTATAGGTCATCGTACGGTCTTCAACAATGAGCAAAGCCCATACCGCATAGTCAACTATAGAAGGCCCCGAAATGACACTGTAAAACAATTCAGACGAGAAAACTAGCGGCCTAATTTATGTACAAAAAAGAAGTTCCGTTTGCAGGAAAAGACCTCATGTAAGTAACCTTTGTGCTGTGATCCAGTGGAGATAATTTTATCAAGTGAACTTTAAAACTATTCAGAAGCCTATAAATTTTATTCAATTGCAATCATTGACCGTAATAAAAGTTTTATTTTATGAATAAATGTAAAATTCTAAAAAATGATTAAAACGTGAATAAAAGGATTTTAAGGAGTATTGTAATGAAACAGCAGCCCACCAAACAAAACAAAACAAAAAACAACATCTAGAGGTCAACATATTGTAAAAAATAATACACGAGTGTGTACAGTACATGTACCTGTATGTCAAGTTCTAAATTGCCGAGTCTTTAATTCTAAAAGCCGTAAAATTATCAACAGTCCGTAATCATTAACTTTTCTTGCGATGTTTCTCACTTAGACCACAAACAGAGACAGGTATTTATGATTCACATGATTTTATTTCCGAAAACAATTTGACCAATTTATAGGTAGCTATTTACAAGCAATATTTATACATCTAAAAAATGTCGCCGGTAACTTGCAGAGATAACGTCGAAATTGTGTGCCAGCGACGTCGTGCATTTTAGCGCTAATGTTGAGGTTCCAAAGGGGGGGACTCAATTTTTAGGATAACTCGCGTTTATCATGGAACCCAGCACGGTGACATATATTTTTTATTTGAGATTTGGAGAAAGCATGACAAAATGCAGATTATGTAGAAAAATGATAAAAATGACATTTTCAGAAACACTTTATTTCCCTATTTTTAGGTTAAAAAAATACCACTTTGAGCATCTGGTCCGCAATGTCAAGCAAGGTTTGCATAATTGTATAGTCATTCGTGTAGGGATTTATTTCTTTCCTTATTATGCCTTATCACAGCTTCAAATTGAACCCGATCTTAATAATTTACGACGAAGAATATCTGCTCCAAAAATTTTATAACATTGCCTAACTTTTTTACAAAATTGCACAAATCCCCAATTTTCAGCCTCAATTTTCTCGTAAACAAGC